TTATACAGTTTCATATAATCTGATAAATGTTAATATTTCAATTTATCATAAATTGTCACATTGGCGTATATATCTATGTACGTGGCGATCACCAGGCGATAACAAACAGGTCTCAATATAAAGCTTTCAGTGACGGTCAAGTAGTTTAATAGCAGCATTTTACCTGAAATAAAATGCATATTAAAATACTTACCTCACTGAAAGCTTTCACTTTAAATTCTGCCTGGTGAAATAATTGAGCCAATGAGTTAATATGGCGCTGTCAAAACTTAGGAAAACAAAAATGGCCGCGCTTCTGCCAGGTGTCGCCACTGGACCGGATACAAGGTGAATAAAAGTACGGAAACTGATTGTAATTCGACGGGAAACGGAAGTGCTATCTCAATATAAAGCTTTCAGTGAGGTAAGTATTTTAATATGCATTTTATTTCAGGTAAAATGCTGCTATTATATAATGAGTTTTGCATATCTAGGTTAAACTTTAAAATTTTAAAGTAAATAATTATCGCTAAAAATTATAAACATAGATAATGGTGTCGATTCTAGCGTGATTCTCTAAACTTAAAACTAAATTTAACATCAGTCTCTCCTTTTCATTCTGTATAGAGAATGACAGAGATGCACTGTTGTCAAATTTAAGTTTAGCTTTAGAGAATCATGCCAGAATCGACATCAATGACTAATCATTTAGCAGTTTTATTTATTATAAGACTTTACATATTTTTGCTCTTAGGAACTTAAAATTTCAATCACAGCATTTAATTTACAATTTACTGTACTATCACAAATATTATATTTATATAATCCACTTAATTATGGCACAAAATTATAGCTAACTATAAAAATAAACAAAAGAAAAAAAACAAGAGAAGATCGCAAATAAAAAGCAAGGCACTAAATAAATGTTTGGATGACACAACCAAGAAAAACGTTACATAAAAAACTATAACCTGCAATTAGGGTTACCTTCAGCAATTTAGGATAGCAATTTTCGAAGCGTTACTTCTAAAAATATAGTAGCTGGCAAAAAAATTGAAAAAATATAGTATGTGCTTATAATATTTACTTTATTTTTGAAATAAATATATTTTTGTTGCTCTTTGCCTTACTAATATTATAATAACAATCTCTAATAATTTTTAAGAAAACTTTTACTGTCAAAAATATGCTTTAAGCAAAATATAGTAGTTTCGCCTACTACATATTTTTTAGAAATATATATTTGATCCCCTAATATAGTAGACTACTATATTTTATAGGAGGGTTGGCAACCCTACCTGCAGTCCGAGCGGCGCTGGTGAATTCAGAATCTGAATGACCTAAACATTCCGGTAAAGTGTCTGATTCCGAAACCTGCGCGGGCAACCAGTTTCCTGCTGCCACTATACCCTGCTTTAACTACACTGTTTATTTCTCGCGCTTGTTTTCTGAGTCTGAATCTGAATCTGCGTGCACTGTGGCCGTACCCTTAGGTTGATTCCATTCAGTGTTGCCAGTGGGTCAATTATGCTTCAGTAATAAAATTCTAATGTGATGTCAATATGATATTGATGCCAAGTTGACATTGTTTTTATATGGTATTATGAAACATTCCTATGTCACATCAAGATCATATCAATATCATATCCTGTATCACATTTTTGACGTTTATGCGATACTATTTTAAGTCAAAAAGTTGAACGTAATACGCATTTAAGTTGATATCATTTTATAGAGTTGATCATCATCATAGCATAAGTTGATGTCATTTTGATATCGCATTTTTCGGAGAGCATAATACGTAATGTGAAATAGACATCAAAACAATATCACAATTAGCGAGCATAATTGGCCTGCAGGTCTCCTGTTTCCTGTTTTTCTACATGAATATTCTATTTTTTTTAGAATACGATTTTCTTTTTTAAGTTGCATTTTCCGTCATTAATAATGTCGGTAACCAATTATAAAATAAATGTTATAGTCTAAAAAAAAAGGACGAAGTGAGAGCACAGAGAAAATTAATACAAGGATAGTAGCGACAAGCTCGATTTTTCCATGTCGCACAAAAATTGGTGGAAATTAAAAAATCTAATTGTTTCATTATTTATATGAATACAAACATAGATAAATGATTGGTCTCGCTACACTCCACTATATTTTGTATTATGGATTCTGAAACCAAGCATATTAAAAATACATCTTCAGAGGCATATATATGATAATCCACCTCTATCTTTTAACATTACAAATTTATCAAATCAGTAATCAATATCAGAAATCAATATATTTTTATTCAAATTGGATGTAAAGTAAAACATTTTTGAATCGTTAAACATTTTTTCCCCTACCACTCGTTGTTGGACATTTTTTTTAGCTGCAGAGAAAAATGAGCGAAAAAACTCCACAACATTAAAAGTATAATGTAACAAAATTAACAAAACATTATGTTGTTACAACGTCAATACAATCATGATTTATTTAATATAGAAAACCTATTGGAATGATCGGAACAGTTCAAACCCAAACATTTTTGTCTGTAATATAATCAGACACTTTGTAATAAGCTTTTTAATAAGTGTTTTTTTTTATACTATCTTTGAATTTATTTATGGTTAACTCTTGGATATTGCTTGGGTCTTTATTGTATAAGCGAACACAAAGTCCTTTAAATGAATTATTAATTTTGTGAAGCCAAGTAGCATTTAAAGTTAGTTTATTTTTGTATCTTGTATTGTGTGAACATCAGTGTTTTTAAGAAACAAATTAATATTTTTTCTTACGAGTGATAAATTTTCGTATATGTGATGCGACCGTCATTATTCCAAATTCTTTAAACCTATCTCTTAAGGAATCATTAACTTTAAGATTATAAATTGATCGAATAGCTCTCTTCAGCAGCACAAAAATAGATTGAATGTCGGCGGCGTTTCCCCACAATAAAATTCCGTACGACATTACACTATGGAAATAACTAAAGTACACTAATCTGGCCGTATCTACATCCGTTAACTGGCGTATCTTCATTACGGCATATGCTGCAGAGCTAAGTCTATTTGACAATTTATCAATATGTGGGCCCCATTGAAGCTTAGAATCTAAAGTAATTCCTAAGAATACTGTCTAAGTGTAAGTCTACAAGACCCATATGCCTATCCTTTACATTCACACTGGTTTTTACCTATTTTACATTAGGTAATACACATTTCATACATTTCGTTTTTCTTTCATTTAGTTATAAATTATTAACATTGAACCAGTGGACTGCCTTAGAGATACAACTGTTCACGTCGTCAAAAACTGTTTCTTTACATTTGAGTTTAAATAAAAGTGATGTATCATCGGCGAACAATACTATCTCATGCTTATCTCGAACATAGTAAGGCGAGTCATTAATATAAATTAAAAATAAGAAAGGACCAAGGATTGAGCCCCGCGGTACACCCATTTTAAAAGGCGAACCCGGAGACCTATTGCCTTTAATGTCAACCCTCTGAATCCTATCCATCAGGTATGACGCAATAAGATCCAGATCAGTATCTCTAAATCCATAGTGGTGGAGTTTCCTGACTAATGTTTCATAAAAAACACAATCAAAAGCCTTGGACAAGTCACAAAACACACCTAGAGTGTCCATTTCCCCCAGACCCAAATTCTTCTTGGAGCTCCCAGGCGTCAAAAATTTGTTGTATAAGTTCAACACCGGCATCGGTTGTTGAACGACTTCTTGTAAAACCCGATTGTTTACAGTGAAGTATATTTTGTTTATTAAATGTGATTGCATTTGATCTAACATGATTTTTTCAAAAATTTTACTAAAGGTGGGTAGCGCAGAAATTGGTCTAAAGTTTGTGTGGTTTGATGTACAGTTTGTCTATAAAGTCGTGATATTAAATGATGGCGCCACTAGTATGCAGTTACCACAATGTTGTTAGAAATATTGTCCGGTAGTATTGACGATAAAAACAATGCGTTCTGTGGTACACCTCCCTTATGCAATCTTTTCAAACCACCTTTTGTCAAGTACAAGTCACTTGCATTAAAATGAGTCGAACATATTATAACACTGCTTTTTCCTGGTTTCCACCAACGTTCTTCCCGGCTGACTCGTACTACAGAAGTCCAACGGTTATGAATAACAGGATCAGCAGCAAATCTGTACCAAGCAAACATAACACGATAATACTAATGATGATGATTCCGTTACACACACACACACACCATTTGGTTACATTTTGTACAGAAATACACGCTTGACCAATTATTTAATCGAGAACCCTTCTCCTGCGTATGGCGCACAAATATTCACTTCACCACACACTTGGGCAAATTATTAAGATCCCTTTATTAATACCCGCACCATAAGCCTGAGTCCCCACCACGAGTTTTTGACAGTTGCGTAACGCTAAGGTATCGCATCGTCAAAGTTTCTATGAAAACTAAGCAGCGCCACTGACACCAAGTATAAACTAGCTTTTTCTATACAAAATTTGACCATTACGATACTTTACGAACTGTCAAAAACTTGTACTTGGGCCTCTGTTCTCAATTTCATTCAATTAATTTCAACAATTTTTCCTAAAATTCTGATGTTTTCTTCATAGTTTGTATTTCATAAAGAGGTCAAATGGAAATGGGTCATATAACAAAATATTCTTATAAAAATCTTAACCATAGGGACTTTTATATTGCGTACTTGGCAACACTGTAACTTACAGCGGCTTTCTCGGCTAAGGGTGCGGCCAGAGTGCACTCAGATTCAGATTCAGATTTCGAAAACAAGCACGAGAAATAAACAGTGTAGTCGAAGGGTACGGCCAGATTGCACTCCTGATTCAGATTCAGACTCAGAAAACAAAGCGCGAGAAAAAGCAGGCAACCTGCTTAGACTACACTGTTTATTTCTCGCGCTTGTTTTCAGAACCTGAATCTGACTCTGAATCTGAGTGCACTCTGGCCGCACCCTAAGGGTGCGTATTTATTCACGGCCAGATCAAATTAAAAAAAAAGTGGCTTTCTTCCACCGTTTTCTTTAGGTTAATCGTTCTGATTTATTAATATTTTCAACGAATTGTGTTTTGTAAAAATGAATTCATTAAAAAAAATGCTATTAAGACTAAGGACACACAGGTTTAGGACATGTATACGCTTTCATAGCAGTAAAAATATTTTAAAACTCAGTGAACGAGGAATGTATCAAGACATGTTTCCCAACAATGCAGCGTACGTATTATTTTGTTTTTTCTTGGACACATATTAGCGGTGCACTGTAATTCCCATGTACAGTCGGCTTAACGATCATTTTCATAGTTAACGATTGGACAATTTTATGCTTATATTTTATTTATTTATCTAATAAACCATAGTGTTTTATTTTAATAGCTAAACGCCATAAAACCCTAAAAGCGTTGCACATTCGTCTTCAGACACATACGTTTTATATTTACAATGTAAAATATTGTCTCAAAATACATCGCATTCGCAAAACATTCATATTCGAACGATTTAAACTGCTGTCTCTAAGATGAAGTTATCCTTTTCGTATTTCGTACCTCTAGCAAGCCATTTCATCACTAGCCGAATAATGCCCTTAATGCTAGGGCACAAGCCTTTCCTATGATTGGAATGTTTAGAACAGGCATATACCCACCATGCTGACTCAGTGGCTCACCTGTCAGTAAATATAAATTATATGTAAACAAGAAATAAAAATGTATCAACTAATAGTATCCAAAAAGAACCTATTTTTATTCCTGAAATCATTCAATTGAATACCATGTGTTTCCAGCCATGAAATAATAGATATTGTGTGCAAATCACCTCAATGTGTTTATGCTGGTTTTGATCCTACTGCGGAGAGTTTACATGTTGGGAATCTCCTAGTTATTATCAACCTTCTGCATTGGCAAAGAGGAGGCCATAATGTTATTGCTTTAGTAAGTATTGCTGATATTGAACCTATTTCTTTTACTTGTGTCCATTTGCAGCAAATTTGCTAAATCTTGATTAATTTTAACTATAGATTTTATCCATAGAAAAATTACAAAATGTCACTTTAACATTATTTAATATTTATTTTTTTATATTTTATGATTTTTTTTATAAATTTAGATAGGTGGAGCAACAGGACATATTGGTGATCCCAGTGGCAAAACATCAGATAGAGTAGCTCTAGCAATTGATACAATACATAAGAATGTACATGGTATTAAGAAAAACTTAGACACGGTATTTGAAAATCACAAAAATTACATTTGGAACAAAGAAGAATATAAACTTCAACCAATTAAGTAAATATAAATGATACATATTCATAATTGTGTAGATTACAAAAATTATGGATCTTTTACTTATTTGGCTTCATCTTTCAGAATAGTGAACAATGAATCTTGGTTTAGAGACATTAATTCTATACAGTTTGTAAGTAAAATAGGTTGTAACTTTCGAATGGGTACAATGCTTCTTAAACAAAGTGTCCACACCAGGATAAACTCTGAAGCTGGTATGAGTTTTACTGAGTTTGCATACCAAATATTTCAATCATATGATTGGCTTCATTTGTTGAAGAATTACAACTGTAAATTTCAGGTAACAATACCAGTCCAACATTATAATAATAAAATATTATATTAGGTACTATTCTATTGAAATATTCTTTTGTAGATAGGTGGAAGTGACCAAATGGGAAATATAAGTGCTGGTCATGAGTTGATAAGCAGGACTGCCAAAGAGAATGTTTATGGCAAGTAGTACTTTATATATTATCTGTTTTACATTTTTTAACAACTGCCTTTAAAATTATTAAAATTTCTATAGGTTTGACTCTACCACTAGTGACAACTGAAGAAGGGGATAAATTTGGGAAATCTGCTGGTAATGCTATTTGGTTAGACCCACAGAAGACTAGTCCGTATAGCTTTTATCAGTTCTTCATAAGGACTAAAGATTCAGATATTGAAAGACTGCTGAAACTGTTCTCATTCTATAGTTTAGGTGAAATAAAAGATATTATGTTCAAACATAAAGAACATCCAGAGCAGAGATATCCACAGATGTGTTTGGCTGATCAGCTAACAACTTTAGTCCATGGAAGTGAGTATAGTACCATAACAATGTAAAATATAGCTTATTATGCATGGAACAGTTATGTTTCTACCTCACAAGTAAAAGAAACAATATTTAAGAAAGACTGTAAATGATTCTTTAAAAAGCATTTAACTGACTTCAAAATATTTAACTGAAATAAGTTTTAACGTCAGTGCCAGCCTGCATGCAATACCTACTTATAGAACTAATGCACCTCTGCTCCTACTCATCACAATGGGAGAATGAAGTTGGTATTGTGACATTACTTTAATATTGTAGGTGTTTTGTTTTAGAGGAAGGCTTACAGCAAGCTCTTAAGGCAACAGAAGCAATGTACAGCAAAGATGTTAAATCACTTGTTGCTCTAAGCTCAGTAGAATTGGAAGAAGTCTTCTCGGGAGCAACAGTTACAAATATTTTGCTGTCACCCGGTATAACGGTACTGGAACTAGGAATGAAAGCAAATTGCTTTCCTACAGAAAGTAAGTAACTATAAGAACTGATTTCTTAAAATTACTATATTCGAAGAAGCATCAAGCAGCAGCAAGCGTTCTGAAGTACTACTTCAGAACATAAAATAATAATAAGGCTTTAACCCTACTTGTAACTTTAAACCTTATTTATTTGTGCTACATTAAGACAATGTCCTTCTCAAAAGTCTTCTTTTATTTTCATATCAAAATCAGTTCAGTGGTTTAGTCTTGCAAGCTTAACAGACAGAGTACCTACCTACTTTTGCATTTATGATATTAGCTGGAAGGATTCAAAATTTGTTTGATACTTTAATAATTTATTGTTTAATTTTAATAAAATTATACTATTATAAAAAATATACTGCATCTTGTTTTAGGTGATGCTATGAGAATCATTCAAGCAGGTGGTTTTTACATAAATCATCAAAGAGTAAAGAAAATAGATGAAGTCATTACAGAGTCTGCACATATACTGCCAAACTTGATGTCTCTATTGAGAGTTGGTAAAAGGAATTATTACATTGTTAAATGGAAAATATAATAACTAAATATAGTCAGAAGTAAATTAGAGGTATTTTTTTTAAACCTACTTATTAGTGAGTTTGAACTATTCATTAACAGCCGTGCACAATCTGCCAGTGCTATGGTTCGACCCCCTTCAAAGCTGAAAAAATGTTGTAAATGTGACAGAACTAATCTCTTTCGCAACTGAAATTAAAGCGAAAGTCAACGAGTCAGTCAGAAGGTCAATAGTAGAGAAGCCCAAGTAGGGAGTTTTGGGATTAACTTTAGCGCGGCAGAATGACATAAAGAGGCAACCTTGCATCTTGTGTAATACTCCTACCTTATATGGTCTAACTGGGCAGCTAAAAAATATCAACAAACGCCCACGACTTATGATCATGTCCAAATCGTCAGTCTTGAATAGAAGCTACTGGAGGGTTCACGCAACGGTTCTGAGGACGGAAAAAATATTGATCTGACGGTTTGCATGGTGTGGGAGTGGCCATACGAAGGGATAGAATATAGGAAAAAATATAGTCTAGCGCGTCAGCCATTGAAAGGGATCTTACGTGAACCCTCCATTATGTATTCAAAAGTTTGAGGATTTGGACGTGACCAAAAGCCATGGTCGTTTGCTGAAATTTATTTTTTGCTACCCTAGACGTTCGATCCTACATAGGGGTATGGTGGGATTACTTCACAACAGGTTGGCCCCCCTTGCCTCGCTCGCCTTGTAAACACTGCGATAAAAACAGGTTTTATATACTTGTGTGAGTGGCACGCAAAACAAAACGCATGAATCTTTATATCTTAAGGGCCACATATACGGAACGATTCGTCGTTGCGATCGATCTGAAGGAAATCGTCAACGATCGATCGTTCAGAAATGCCACTACATACACGAAATGATTGATCGTAACGATCTATCATTTACTTGTTTCAAACGGTAGGATAAAGACGTACTCAAATAATTCAATACTTGCCCTCTAAGATGGAAAACGAACTCATGATTGCATGGGATTTGGTTGCGATTTGCGATATCGTCTTCGATTAAGTAAATCGTTAGGCGTTGAGCAGACTTAGGTTAGGTTTGTATGTTCCACGGCGGGCAGCCGCGGACATGCCGCGCCGCCACTGCCCGCCGGGCACCTGCGGCGCGGTCGTTTTGTGCTATTATTCGCGGCGAAATTGACCGGCCCGCCCCGCCCCGTCGTCTGCTAAGCGCCTTAACGATCTTGACATACACTGTCGATCCATCATATCGATCGGTCTGAAACGACGGATCGTACAGATCAATCGTACCGTATATGGGACACTGACGATCGATCGTTTACGATATTCACGATTGCATGGGTTTTTGTTGCGATCTCCGATATCGTCTGCGATTAAGTAAATCGTTAACGATCTTGACATACACTGTCGATCCATCGTTTCGATCGATCTGAAACGACGGATCGTACAGATCAATCGTTCCGTATATGGGCCTCTTTACACTCGCGACATGTCAGCGAAATGTCATTCTTTTGTGTCTCGGTGCGCATTCGCAAGATTATTACTCAGGCGCACGATGATTGTTTGTTAGCAGGTTAGTGCACGTTCCCAAAAAAAATGTTCGGTTGATCTTGATTGATTTCTGTGCTGCACTCGTTTTATTTTAAGAATGTGAAAAAAGTACGCATTTGATGTGGGTATAATTGTTATTTATTACTTACAACAGAAGCTTGTATACTTGCAGTATAATAATTATAATAAAATGCATATCACATAAAACGTCATAAATACTACATAACATACTTAAGCCTAAAATAATTATTTTATTCAATGAAACAGCTGCGTGTCTTAAACTACGGGGCCGTCTTGTCACAAATATCAAAAATATGGCTAATCGTCATACAACATAATTACATTTTTGTGCACCGGCCGCGGACTCGGCGCTGCGCGAGTCGCGACCTCCGTGATTAAGTTTTCTAATATCACAAAGTTCAATTGCAATTTTCTATTATATATTGTACAAGTATATATGTAGCAGTCACCTAACGCACATCTAGTCATATTGACCGTTCCAATTACGATATGTCTTTTCGAATTCTAACATAATCATAAAAGTACGTTTACGGCTTAGTTAAAAATAGCACTATGCATATATAGTTTGGTAAAATATGACTCGCTTATCACAAATCGTAATTAATAATTAATGATAATGTAGCAGCGTTATGTACCGTTTTATAAAAATAAAGGCCATCATCACAAAGTTCTCACGCAACAATCTTCGACTGTACAACTTTAAAAGGGAGCGCGAATATAAATTAAGGCATCAGTCTCTTATCGAATACTAGACACCGCGGCGTTGGCGCGGTTCCGCGACCGTGGCGCGGGCGTGGGGGCGGGCGGCGCGGGCGTGGCGGCGGGCGGCGCGTGCTAGAGGTCGGTGCTCTCGTGGGGCGGGGTGGGGGCTGGCGGGGCAACAGGGGGCGGCGGCGCCGGCACCAGGGGGCGCGGTGGGCGCGACGTCTGCGGCCGCGGCGACTGCGGCGACTCCGTTATACTGCCCTCCGACTGGGACAGCTGCCGGCTCAGACCCGTCAAACACTTGGGCTCGTCCAACTCCGCGTCCTTCCCGCCCGAGCTGTGCGTGCGCTGCACCGTCGCCCGCGGCCCCTCCTCCGCCTCGGGCCCGCCCACTTGGATCACGGTCGGGTGCTGCTTGTCCACCGTGTATATATGCGTGCGCTCCAGCATCGTCGGCGTCACCTCCGCGTCGGGGCCGGATCCTCGCGGAGCTCGGAAACTCTGCGGTCGCAGCGTGGCCGGCCGCTCGGGCACGGCGGGCTTGTGCCGGAGTTGCACTTCGCCATCTGATTCGGCGGGGGCGGGTACAGTGGTGGGAGGCGCAGGTAGTAGCGTTCGCGGCGCGGCGACGGGTCGAGGGGGCGGTTGGCCGACTGGTTTGGTGATCGGTTGACGGGGCGCCGCGCCTAACGAAGCGGGCCCGCTCGACGGATCTCCGCCGATTTTCATCCGACCCACGACGCCCGTCTGAGCGGTCACGTTTTTCACGACGAGTGTGTCGACCGCCTTTAGACTGTCCAGCTTCTCTTTCTCCAGTTCGAGGCTCTGTCGCCGCACGTCGGCGAGGTTTTCGCGACTGCCGCTCCGCGCGGCTTCCTCCTTCATAGCCTTATTCTGTCTGTAGGTGGAGCGGTTGATCGTCTGCACACCCGATATAACTTTCCCAGTGTCGGAGATGACTGGCCGCGGGGGCTTGGCCGGTTTCTCCGCCTCCTTTACCGAAGGTTGCGGTTCCTTTACCGCGTGATGCAGTTCCTTTGCCGCGGGTTGCGCTTCCTTCGCCGGTTCGATAGCACACGTTTGCACCTGAGCTTCGACTTTCTTGCTTTTATCCGGCGTAAAGTTGGGCGGCACTGGCGCCAAAGGTTTATTTTTTCGTCTCATTATCGGCTTCGGACTGCCGTGTGGTGGACTAGATTGGTCAGATAGGGAACTATTAGATTGAGCTTTTTTAATTTCGTTTTCTATCAATATTAAACTAGTGTCGTGGCTGTTACTTCTGGAGTGGCGGCCAGGTCCGTCTGCGTTGTTTCTATTCTGAAGCGCTTGGTAGCCGTAGTCGCACATTGATTTGCTCATACTGCTGTAGTCCCCATTCGATTGCTCCTGAGTCAGAGCCGCAGTTTGATTGTAACCGTGCACAAAATGGGGGGTGAACCCATATTCGCAGTGGTCAGGGAGAAGGTCTTCTTTGGTAAAAGATATAAAGAAATTGATATCGTCTTGGAAAAACCAATCGGCGTGTTTTATGAGCAGTTCTACCACGCAATTGACGACTGTGGTAATGTTCATGTCGAACGTGCTCTCGTCCGCGGCCCATAGGAGGTTCGGGGCAATAACTATGGCTAAATTAGAAGGGGTCATTTTGTTAGTGCTTTGGTTTTGTGTCAAAGCAGACAAAAATTTTATAAGGTACCTAAGGTTTTGGAAGTTAGCATCGGGCAGAAGATGTATAGCTTCCCAGAGAGCGTTTAATCGGGCTTGTTCGGAAGGTTGCCGCGAGGCAGCGATGAAGTTTTCGTATAGACGGTAAGTTAATAGGGGCTCAGGTAATTCGCGCAGATATGATTTAAGAACAGACGCAACTACGTGCATGTCGCGATAGTCGCGAGGTAAAGGCACATTGAACAGACCTGCGTCTAGAGATAGCTTCATTCGCCTTACTTTCGATGTACCTGTAAAGAGAAAGTTTTGATCATGAAATTCCGCCTTATTACAAAACTTAAGACTCAGTTAAACCTGGACTAAAACTGATGCTGTAACTTTTGTTTGTTAAAAACAAGACGGAGAAGACATTAGGTTAAAACCATGACTAATTTAAGTCCGCGTTTTGGAATAAGGCGGATTATGTCGATGAGAGACAATTATTTTTTAAAGCATGACTAATAGAAGTTTTCTTCTCCACAATGGGTGTTTGTGCAACTCGCAAATTACGTACACTTTTCTTTACGAACTTATAGTGGTGTTGTTGCTATTTCTGAGAGTTCCGTTCGGATCAAAGAAAGAAACTTTTCAATCATCTCGAGCTTGGTACTTAGGTACTGGTGTTTTACATCCGCAATGATAATGTAAGTTAATCCTTTTTAATATCTTTGCGTGATTAATAAAATAAGACATCTCTGTAATTTTCTCGTCATTACAACATCTTCGAATGAGACCGCTGGCGGTTGATGAAAGAATATGTCAAAATACTTTATAAATTATTGCTGAGTATTTTTGGCTGAGGAGCTCGGTGGCGCCAGTGGTTTGCGCGTTCGGCTGCGATCGTGGAAGTTAAGCAACTTTCGCAGTGGTCGGTCATCGGATGGGTGATCAATAATTTAGTATCTCGAGCTCCTCCGTGCTTCGAAAATCACCTTAATCCCGGCTGCAACTGCAGTCGTTAGCACCCACCAATACGCATTCGGCCCGCGTGGTTGGTCATGGCTCAATCTCCTTATTCCATCCATTGGGAAGACTTGTGCCCAGGGTTGGATTTAGAGGTGTGGAGGCTTTGGGACAACGAATGTATCAGGGCTCCCTATTTTAAAATCTGGAACCACGTTGCCCACCACTTATTATTATCCCCCCGCCCTGCTGGTGACCGGTCGAAATTTAGTTAAGTTCTTTTTATCTCCGCTGTTGTTGCCCCTGGGCCACAGGCCCGTCTGCCCTGACTGTGCCCCAGAAGTGGAGACATTAATAAGCTGATGATGAATGAATGAGTTTTACCGCCGGCAATCCTAAACAGGCCTTCTTCGCTGAGGGCCAATTCGTGGAGAGTGCATACGCACAGCTCTATGGGGAAGGCGATCGTACGGCTCGTCACTCGAAGATGCTCCTCGAGAGGATATCCAAACACCGGCTTTACTGAGCTGTCATCTGAAATAATAAATAATTCAAAGTCAGTGCATTCGCCCGGATAGCGAAGGGTGCGGGTTTTCGCCCGTCTGCTGCCTGGTCCGCGTGGAAATGTTTCTAGTTATATTTTCTTTAGATTGAAACATCAATCAGTTACATGCTTAAAAATAAAAATTATAATAATTACAATGATTTATATTAGGGGTGTTTTGGATATTTACATCATCGCAAATACGAAATATTCTCTTCCGCATGCGATTCAATTGATGCGGATTTTTCACGGCGGATTCATATCAACGAGTAACATCTTAAGACAGTGGGCGGAGCCAGAGTGGCACGTGCTAACAATGATATTAAGGAATAATAAAAACTGATTTAGTTATCAAAATAAATTTGATTAAATAAATTTAAAATTAATTCGTTTTATATTTATTTATGAACTTGAACTTTAAATATCTTCATAATAACCTGAAATCCGCAACCGAATCCGCGGTTGTTATTTTTTTTGCATCTGCAATAACCTTAATTTATATATAAAAACTGGAGGATTACAGTTATTTATTTATATTGTATTTCGATTATTATCGACAATCGCGAAAAAAAACGCGTCTTCTTCTGAATACATATCGAAAGAAACTACTGGAATATTAGCCAAGGTTGATTGGTTAACGTCGACAGATGCCGTGGAATGACAATCGTTCATTCAAACTAAAAATGTTTTAATGTTAAAAGGGTGGCATACAAGTGTATGACCCGCTTGATGACAAGTGGCCACCACAGCCTATAGAAGTATAGACACTTGCGATATACAAAATATCACTTAGCCTACTTTAACTCAATCCCCTACTCCGTGGAGCCTTACTCACCAACAGAAACAAAACAACATCATAATAAGCAGTGCCGTCTTTGAACTATTGGAGGCTAATATAAATAAGCCCGGGGCTTATTAGGATAATGGGGCCCCTACGGCTCCCGTTTGGTGATTTAACAGGAACTAGGGACTTTGTATTTGATCTGAGGGGCCCCCTATCGATCGCGGGGCTCTGCAATGGGCACTTGCCCAAAGTGCCCACTGGGAAATAGGACTCTGATCATAAGATAGTGTTGTTTAACTGTTGTCTTCTGTAAGGTGGAAGTTACTTCCCCAGACAGGCGCTCCATTTCGAGCGGGCAATCTGCTATGTCCTACCTCTCTTGGGATCTTATTCAGTATAGTAGGCTGATACAAGCACCCATGAAAGTGCAGAAGCTATGCCATCGGTTTGTAAATCTACAGCGGGAGACCTTGTACTAAAAAGAGCTGCCAAAAAACACAGCAAGGGCTGATATTTTTGCCTGTATCATTATTATATATACTGTATTTTCACAGTATTAAATAAATAAATAATATTTCCAACACTCACACAAATTAGCCTAACCCCAAAGTAGGCACTGTAGGCTTGTGTTATGGGATACTAGGGTAACGGACAGAATACATATGTAGAAATAAACATCCATGACTGGAGTACAAATGCTCGTATTCATCACACAAACATCTGCCCCCACCGGGATTCGAACCCAGGACCTTTCGAGTAGGCGACACTTTAAATCCGGCATACAAACCACTCGGCCACGGAGATCGTCACTAATATTCAAGTACTTAACTATTCAAGTTGAATAATGACTTCAGAGATTCATGAAGTCACCTTTCATTACATTGGCAAGTTATTAATTATTGATTGGTAATTTAAACTGTTTTTAACCATCGTCGCTACAATTTTTTATTTCTAATGATTGGAAGTTTTCCTTATGTAAAATAATTAAGATAAGTAGTATCAATTTTTCCGGTTGAACAATGTAAAAATTACGGGTTCTGCATTGACAATTAGGCATACCCTGCAGACAATTGCAGATTTTATATGGCAAGCATGAATATAGGTTGTGCGTATTTGAGACTACGTACGGCGAAAAGGAACAGAGATGGTGCAATTGGCCAAGCAATTAAAGTAGACGATGATTGAGTGAGCAACACATTTAGATCTACAGACTAATTAATTGAAGTCTAACATTTTATGCATAACTGACACAATTTATCTGATATGTCTAACATACTACGCTCAATATATCTTCATCGACAACAATCTGATAGAAATACAATTTATGATTACTTATTTAAAAAAAGTGTTATAAGACAATTCTTTACAATAGAAGTAGCGGAGAATTATGAAACCACAGTTTCCATAGTGTAAATTTCTAGACTATTTTAGACTATTCCTTCCCCAATAGCGTAATTATACCTCTTTAAGATATTGGGGGAAAAAACCATCTACTAAATAAAGCAAAGTTTATTTGGTTTGTTTGCGTGAATCATTCCCAACAAATACATAACAGAATATATCCTTATATGCTATATATAGCATTACCTACTATCCGTCCGATTAGGCGTTGTATCAGTAACCGTTATCTTTTTTTTTCTATCGCTTTGACTGAGTTTTGTATGTATTTCGTTTAAGGATCATTCGCAAAACCGACAGTATGTATATGATTAATTTATGTTTGTTTCGGACATTATTTGCGAGAGGATATTTCTTTACTAATATTATAATACCTAAAAAGTTTGTTTGGTTGAACGCGCTTATCTCAGGAAGTACTGGTCCGATTTGAATAATCATATCGAGAAAGGCTATAGGCTATATAACATAACGCTACGACTAATAGGAGCGTAGCACCAATGAAAAATGTTGCAAAAACGGGAAAAATATTCCATATGAGAGCTTCCGCTGCGTAAACGGTAAAAGTAACATAAAAATCATGTTTGACGGGATATTTCCTCTTTGATAGTTCTATACAAGGCCAGAATCCACGACAGCATATGTCTATCTTTTATATATATACGAACAGCTATTGATTTATAACAGTAAGTAAGTGAAATCTATAACAGTATAATCCTCACTCACACAATAAAATTTGGTATGCGCGATACTTTCGGCAGTTTGTAAGCACGCATACCAAGATAATTACAAATGTGACATTAAAACGCGTGAATAAAAAAATAAAAAAAAAAGGTTTCCGTGATAATGGATAAATTTTACCCCTTATCACACCTTGAATGGTGTAGGTATTGGTATGTGTGACCTTTCCGGCTAAAAATCATTGGTCGGCCTGATTTTTTCTTGTTGAACATAATATTTCACACAAAATTCTATATAAGATTGATCAAAATCCGTGATGACGGAAAAAATATGGAAATTTAATAATAAATAATTTAATTAAAATATTTCCGGTCACTCAAATCCACGCCGATCAAGCAAATCTTGTTCGTCTAAATGTTAACTTTTATTTTTTATTAAAAATATTAGAATCCGTGATCACGGCGCTTTCAGGATTGGCGGCTCCTCGCCTAGTAGGGCACTCTTTTTAAGTATATTATCTGAATTTGAAGGAGATTAGTAGAGGCTATGATTGAGGATATACCTAACTAATAATATATATAAACATACCTTGACATCTTACTACAGTGTTTGATGAGGAATTTTAACGCAAAGCTAGGCGAGCGAGACGGTTAAGGGTTGAGAGTGGACATATTGGGTTTTGGGTAGCGATAACAAAGTTGACCAAATTCTGGCTGACCTATTGGAGAAAGAGAGCTTCTTTGCAATAAAGTCCTTTTTTAATAAGCCGCTAAATAGGACGTGGACGTGACTAAGCTCCGATGGCTCGACGAGAAATGAGATTGACTTCATAATGACAACTAAACGGCACATTTTTAATGAAACGTCTGTGATCAAAAGGGTGAGAAACGGTAGTAATCACGGGATTGTAAGAGGCACATTGAATTATCAATTGAAGTTAACGCTCCGAGCGCATATATCGAAATCCCTAAAGTTTTCGACTCGAATTACAAATTAGCTTCATTCGTCTAGAAGATTGAGTATCCGAGGACGATATAAACAACAGGCTGGGTGGAAACTGGCATACTAAGAGGGGTCCAATTTCCGCATCACTCACGGAAATAAAAGGCAGAAGAGGTTCTCTAACCACATACTATGACTCATGAAAGAGATATAAATAATGTGACGTCTTCACCGGATGCATCAGCCTACCGGTAAATTAATAGGCAGATCGTCAAGTCACAGTCATGTAAACTCTTAGGTTTTTAATACCGAAAGAATTAAATATACCGAAGATATATATATACCGGATGTCAGCATATACGACATAAGAATCTCTTTCAAACAACAAGATGCCCAGGGATGATGGAATCACAGCATAACTTCTGAAAGCGGGGGGAAAACCAGTGTTGGTACTTTTTTCAACAACGGTGACAATCAATACCTTTTGATAAACTACAGACCCATCTCGTTGCGACTATCGTTACATCGCAGTGCTGAAGATTATGCGAAAACGTCACCATGGCCGTCCGTATACAATCCATGGAAATGGAAACTAAGCAGCGCCCCTACCGGACTTAAAAACAAACTAGCTCCTTCCATAGAAACTTTTACGATGGCGCTAGGAATACTTTCTCGCTAGTTGTTCGTGTTTGTGCTACAGACTACGAGACCTATCCAACTACAGCTAGGAATGCCACAGGGAGATGTGATCTCAGCTGTATTGCATGACGTCTTTAAGCTTCTGGATTGGAGCGGACTTGGCATCAATGTTAACGACAACTACACCTTCAATTTGCCGATGATACGAGGGGAGGTCAATAAGTTCGCGGAATGGAGGGGTTGAATATATGTCGTGGCCATATCGTAGATTTGCTCACTTCATGAAATGCTCGAGAATTTCATGAAATGGTCACATTTCATGATGTGGCCAACTTAATTTGACCAGATCATTAAAGCGTCAACATTTAAAGATTTGGTCCTCCACATTTGGCCGGATCGTATAATTAGGGTGTCCATAAAATATTTATCAAAAATCCAGAATATATAAGAACTTGTTTATTGTTATTTAAGTCCGAATGACACAAACAAATTTAATCAAAGGAGGACGGGCATTTTGGTATCCAATTGGTGTTTGGTATCAATAGCGAT